CTTAGCCATGAACTGTGGAAAATGGCAAATACGAATCTGTGTCACCGTCACAAGTCTCAATTGCTGAAGCGTGGGCGCCATTGCTATGGTTCTCACTCAAATTACGCGAAACTATGTAAACGACAATGAGTGCAAGTGCAATAAATTTTAAAAAGTAATTTCAATTTCTTTATTTTATTTTATGGAAATTAATTTTTTTTTTAAATTTAATAACATTGAGCATTTTTAAATTTTACATTGAAGTGCCAGCCAATCAAAGGAAAATTAGAAGATGGTACAATGATAGTTTGGGTTATCTTCAACTAATAAAATTGAATTGCTTTGTGATATATATATTTTTCTTATAGTTTTCTTTATAGTTTTATGAACTATATAGATCGTAGTCGTGAATAACTCTGATTAACTTTTTGGAGCATCTGCTAATATTAAATATCGGTTCCCAGTAGGAAATGTCACTCTACGAATCTCTCTATTCAGTCAGAAGAATTTTGTTTAGAAGAACATCAAATGTTCGAGACGTGATTTATATAAAGAACCTATTAGTGTTTAAAATAATTGTTTGGAGTTTTTTGATATATAAGATTTATGGTCATATCCTTGTATTTTGTCATATATATAACATCAAATATTGAGTACGTTTTCGGACTTGAATAGAACTGTTCGGTTAGGTTAACTCATACTAACGAAACTTAAAATGTTTTTTGAAGGAAGGTTTTAGTGTTAGGCAGATTGTTCAAAAAAGAGGTCTTCTTAAATATTAAAACGACGCCGTGTATGCGCTGAGGAAAAACAAATCAGATGTAGGATACTTTTATTGTATTCTCCACAGTTGCGAGAGGAATGATTTAGAGATTTAGGTATGATTCTCTAATTGACTGTCAGCAAACATACCGTACAACTGATATCTTTAAAAGACATCTCAATGAGATTTTTCTTAAAAAAATGTGGACAACTTGAATATAAATGGCTATATATCATTGAATCTTTTTTATCTTTTATAAAATTGATCAATACAAAAAGATCTCAACAAAAGTTTGCATAATGTCAACGATAATGCCTAGTTTTTTTAGATATCCTAAATGATTATCTGAACCACACTGTCTAGCAAGCTCGTCTGTTTTGCAGTTGCCGAAAATATTCCTATGAACGGGAATCCAGCGTAGAAAAATGTTAGAGATGTGCAGCAATCAATACATCCTGGATGGTAATTGGACTGACTTCCAAACAAGCTAATGCTTCTGTAATAGCAATCACTTTCGCCTGAAAATTACTGCTACGATTCGAAAGCCTTAATATGTACGTTTATTCAGGTTTTCCGAGAAAACTTCACACCCTATGTTATAACCAATTTTAAAGCCAATTTTAAATAATTAAAAATGGTTAGATCCTCCCCTATTGAGATACCTTCCCACAGGCATATGTCTCTAGATGAAAATTCGATATTAAATTTCCTATCAAAATCGAGAATGGCAGAGATCTTACTTTTTTTTGATGAACTAAAAAGATTTAGAAAGGAGTTGTGGCTGTAGTCACTAGCCTTCCATTGTGAAGTAATGTTATATGTTGCTGCCATTTGTTTAGTTATAACATCAAGTAGTATTAAGTGAAGCATTAGATTCAACGCATTGGATGGTGTGGTAAACAAAGCATCATTGACACAGACTTCAGCCTCTAGTTGAATCGTGTTGAGTACTATACAGTACGAAGATTCTTCTAAGGCCGTCCACTACACTCTGTTCCCGTACAACAGTATAAGTCTTATGATAGCCGTGTAGATCTATTAACTTATGCGTTGTTGTAATCCTTACTTTTTAAGCCAAAAACAATATCTAACATTTAGCTTTCTTCGTAAAATACAACGTGGAGTCTCGTAGAATAGATGGAGAAAGAGTATAAAATTGAAATAGTTTTCAAATTTTAAAAAGCAATTTATTCAATGTCTGTTTGAATTTTTTAATTCTGGAGACCAGTAGCTATACTATGCTACCATTTCCCAATATTTCTTGAACATAAGGAATATCCATACTTCAAACAAAAATTCTTTTTAAGTAAAAAAAAAACATTTCAGTATTAATTTTTTTATTTACCTATAAAAATTCCTTACAATACAAAATCAACTTAAAAAAATTAAAATAAATATTATTGCTACTTGTTTCGGTTTAAGATTAATGTAAGATTATTCAACTAAGTCATTAAAAGTAATGACAATTTGAGTTAAAAATAATCAATTAAAATATTATTTTCAAGAACTTGCGACATAATTTCACTAGCCTTTGGCAAACATCTCATATTTCAAATGACACAGTCAATGCCACCACTTAGCACTGTTCCACTAATGCCCCGCAATTAGCAGTTGCGACACATTGACATTTTCAGCGGATTATTTATTTCCGCATCTCCTCACATTCGTCAGATACCCACATTTATTCAAGTATTGTTGAGAATTGCAATGCATAAAAAAATGACAAAACAGAGAATGTAAAAATAAAAACAATTTTTTTTTTTGCGTAAAGTGGCAACCCATTTGGAATAGTTCCATGTTTTGGTTTTCGTTAAATAATATGTTGAAGTGAAAGGATTTGAGATTAAATCATTCGAAAAATAAATATCTGATAAAAAATATTTAATATGACTATATATATAACTGATGACAAGACATATATCGATCAGTATGATGTCTATTCAAATCAAGAATCCGTAAATGCCATACGTTGCTTAATTTAGATGCTGCGTTAGAAAATTGAGATTTGGTAAAAAAAAATATTCCTGAGACTGTCACAGTCAATTATGCGTAATTTTGATTTAGTCGATTCCGTTTTGGTAATCTCGTTCAAAGTGATCGAAAATGCACTAAGCACTTTAACCACAAAGCCCAATTGTCGAAAATGTCAATAAAATTATGGAAATTGTTGAGTACGACCAGTGTGAGTCATGTAAGCACTGTTTCGATTGCCCAAGACCTAAGTATTGCACAAGAAATCGTTTGGTACCATTTGAATAAAGTTGGATACAAAAAGAACCACGATATATAGGTGCCGCATTAGTAACTGCAAAAAAAAGCTCATGGACCGAATTTTCATCTGTGAATCGCTGCTGAATTGATACAAAATTGATCCATATCTGATACGGTTGGTGACCGAAAAGTGATGGAAAGTGACTGGTAATCACTTACGACAACGTCAAACGAAAACTTTCGTGGTGTAATTACGGTGAATTGGCTGAAACGGTGACCAAGCTAAGATTGATGAGCAAGGAAGTTTTGCTGTGTATTTGGAGGAATTGGCATGCAATTATATACTATGAGCTACTTCCTTACAACAAAATTCTTAACTCGGAACTGTATTGCCAACTGGAACAATTGCATTGTCTGAATGAAGTAATCGCCCAGAAAAGGTCATATTTTGGAAATATAAGAGGAATTGTGTTTGTGTTCCATTAGGATAACGCCAGGCCACACTCATGATAATGACTCGCCAAAAACTCCGGAAGCTTGTTTGAAAAGTTCTTATGTATGCACCTTATAGTCCAAACATGGCACCAAGTGATTATCATCTACTCTTGTCCATAACAAACGATTTTTCTGGTGCAAAATTCGCTTCAAGAGAGGCTTGTGAAGTTAAACTGTCTCTATTTTTTTCCAATAGGGTCGTGGACTTCTTTGAGAGAGGCATAATGAAATTAGCTTCATAATGCCAATATTTGACTTAAATCAGTTTATTCTACCTATGATAAGATTTCAATTTTACGCATATATAATGGATTCTCTTTACTATACCTATTATTTTCACTAATAGGTTCTAATCCTTTTAAATTAAAATTTAATACACATATGAATGGGAAAACATTGGCCTACTAATTACTGTAGAGCGTGCTATTATATAAAAAAAGATAATTTCTTCTATTGATTCTATGATAATCTTTATTGTCATAAGTAATTTTCATATAATTATTTTAATAAAATTCTCTTATAATTAAAATATAATAAATGTTGGCTTTTAAACGTTTGAATTGCTGTTCAGATTGAGTGCGAACTGACTTTTAAGATTTATGAATAATATCTAATCTTATCAAAATTAAGATAATAGATTAATTAAAACTCAAATCATGAAATCTTGTAATCTAATTAATGTGACTTTAACTTTGAAACCCTGAGAGATTTTTGTATCATAAATTCTTAAATTTGCACTTTTACCTTCAGTTTTAGTCAAATTTACTCATATTATTTATTATTATTTTATTCAATACTCTATTAGGAGCTTAAGGATACAATAAATGATTTTCAACTATCTATATTTTGCGAAATTTGTCAAAATTAGTTAAACGATTTGCCAGTTTTAGTATTAATTGTTCTTCGCCATGTTGTCGTTGTCCTGCCTCTACGCCGGATTCCCTGAGGATTACATGTTAGTGCTACATAAAGCTTACGCAGAAGGTGGCTTATTCACCTATATTTTTACTTTTAAATTTCAACATGAATAGACGTTTGGTTAGTTTACCTCCAGAGTTCTTCATTTGATATCGTTCTTGGCCACCACATTTACTCATATATTATATAAAATCGTTAAACAAGTCTTGATATAATGATATATAAAATATATTTTACAATATGAATTTCTCTAACATACTTTAGTAAATATGAACTAATTGAATATTATTACAGCACTAAATAAAATAATAAGACATCTAAATAAATAATGTTACTTATAAATCCAATAAAACTTATTATTAAGAAATTAAAAAATTATACCTTTATGACTTTATATATAAAGTTATTTTAGCTATTACTGATGAAGTCTTCCTTATACTAACAAAAAGTAAAAAAAAAACATAAAAATTAATATTTACAATATAGCGATTATTCTTTCGATTATGAAGTAATCTTCAATATAAACAATATGTAATAAGTACATAATACTTCCTTTTTAACCTCTCGAATTACACTTTGGGATACAAGAAAATAATGTACTTCTTCATGATTTTCCTCATTATTTCAGATACAATACAAAGCAGCAGCAAGGCGGAAATGTTACTGATTAAAACTTCCTGAGAACAAAGGCAGTTTAACAAAAGGACACTTTAATGTGCACAAAAATAGAGACAAAGTAAAGCCTAACAATAACGCAAAAAAAAAAAAAAATATAGCGGAAGTGTAACAAAGGACGCCATTAATAACTGGTGTCATTCGATTCCGGAACAGAAAAACTGCAAATTTAACGGCTCACCCAACTTTCAGCCAAACCAGCTGAGGCGGCAATAAAAAGTGGCAAAAGACAATTAATTGTTTGTCATAGTCGCCTGGTTTCCAAGGACTCTAAAGTAGCATCATTATAATCAGAGGCAGCAATAACAGAAACAATCTACCAAAAGTTGAAACAATAACTCCATTCAGCGTCTATTGTTTATATTAAAATAATTGTTTCAACAAACTTTCACAGTTTAGTCGGCTTTTAAATAGAGTAACATGGCACAATACGGTGGAGCGGCGAATCCATTTGGTGCACCTAGTGGTGGCGGCGGTGGTGGTTATGAACAACAACAGCAAGGCTATGGTGGTTATGGGCAACAAACAGGTGGCTACGATCAAGGTGGAGGTTATATGCAAGATACTGGTTATGGACAAAACACAGCTGCTGGCTATGGTGGCGGCATGCCATCTGCTGGTGGTGCACAATCATATGCTGCACGACCACGTGTTGATGTGGAGGCTAGTGGTGAAGTGGATCCCACATTGTAAGTCTAACTATAAAATGTAATGCATTAATCATAAATAAAATTTGATTTTATTTAAGATACCCGGAAGCTAAGGAGTCAACGCACAAAATTCGTGGACATGCTGATATACTTGAAAAGTTTTTTGGTCCCACAGAGCATGAACTCATTCCTGTCAAAAGTTTTTATTTTTTCTTTTATGCTGCATTTGGTTCACTATTTCCTTTGATGGGTGTTTATTTCAAGCAAATGGGCATGAATCCTGGTCAGTGCGGTATTCTAATTGGTATGCGTCCATTTGTAGAATTTTTATCAGCCCCATTTTGGGGCTCATATGCGGATAGGTAAACATTTTCTTAGAACTCTATAACTAATTTATAATGACATGAATTTCCACAGATGTCGACAAGGAAAGAAGTTGTTATTGGCTTCTCTAGCATCCTGGGTACTGTTTACTATACCACTAAGTTTTATCAGACCAGAAGCGGTGAAATGCATTGAACGCGTAAATGAAACGGATTTTGTACTCACATATACACGAACTAAACGAGATCTTTCTGCTTTCGAAATGGTAGATTTCAATGATGAGAATGTAGACAATTTCTACAAAAATGCAATACTTCTTCCACTTGGTACAATGCCAGCCGATGAAGCTATTGAGGAATCGCATAGTAGGTGAGTGCAATATAATTGAAAAAAGTCAAAAAATTTTTAGAAATCAAAGGATATTATATATCGTTATATAAAAAAAGAATTTGAAAAAGGATAAATTTATATTATATATTTATATTTATTGAGAATGTATAATATTTTTATAATATATTATATATAAATGTATAGTTTATATATAATATAGTTTGTATATAAAGTTTATATAGTTTTATATAGTTTTCTATGTACCATATATATATACAATAATTTCTGAAAACTCACTATAAGAAAGAATTACGTTTCCACCAACTGGCACCATTATTTAGTAGGTCCATCATAGTCATAATTGTGGTACAACTTTTTTAAACTGGTGTTTTAAAAATTTAAGCACTCTCTTAAAAATTTTCCTTCTCTAAGTCTCCAAAGATATTTGTTTGGGTATATATATAGATACGTGTTTTTTACTATTCTTTCAAAAAGGGAGAGTAAAATTTTTTACTTTGGGTTATATGTCAACATAATGTTTTCCTTTTCCGATTAACTTTTCTGACTTCATTATTGTATCGCATAATACAAAGAGTTCTTAAGATATCTATTACGCTCCTTATTATCTTTTCATTGGACGAGAACTTTCGCTTTCTGCCACGAATTATCATCTTCAAAACTTAAAATATAATTCAATTTACAACATAATTCGATTCACAATATAAAAGTGTTATAATTCTTATTTACTTTTGCCGTTTGTCATAAATTTTCATCTTCAGGATTTAAAATATAATTTAATTTATAACAAAAATATGTTACAATTCTCATTTACTTTTAAGTGTCTGTGCAATATTTATTTCATGTAATTATTAGTAGAAGTATATTTAATTCATATAAATACTGGTATACATGGATATTGCGCTGTAGATGCGAAATTGTTTACAGGAATAGATCATGGTTTTTTTTTTACACTACTATCTGTTTGCAAAAGTCTACCCTGTTTAAGCTGCTTTGAAAGAATTTAGAAACATTTCATCGGTTACGTTTTAATTGTGGTTTAGTAGATATGACATTTAAAGAGTGCATAAACATTATCAGCAATATTTTTTGATTGAAATCAAAATTGATTTTTTTTGTTATTTTTGTAAGTAGTGATAGATTATAATGTGCAGAATAGTATTTCATACTTTTATAAACACTTTCGCATAACTGTCACACTTCCCATGTATAAACGTGAGTTTCTAAAGTTCGAATTTTTAGAGAATCTTGTGTCTAGACGTCCAGTAGCTAATTAAACTATTATATTCAAAAACTGGAGTTCTGAAATCGTATCTCTGTGGCTATCATGAACCATAACTAATCATTTCTGTAGTTGCGAAATGATTCAAAGCCCTTTACTAACAGGGCTTTGAAACAGAATTTTTTCCGTTCCGGTTCAAAATAAAAAAAAAATATAAATCGGTTCGGTTCCGGTTTTCACTCCGGCAAAAATATTGGTTTTTTTTGGTTAACGGTTCAGTTCCGCTTCGAAATCATGTTCACTATATTGTCATTAGTAGATTGCCTACCACAATACGTAAACCTACCAAATATGTAGTGATGGCATAACATAATTTTTAATTAATTGAATAACCCTTGAAATAGTGTACAGAAATATTTTTAGTTAACATTTGTCCATTTTTGTGTCTATTATGAAAATATTGTAAAAACCTACCAATATCAACAGTTATATTTCTAAGTAAGCGTTCGGCTTAAAATATCGAAGATTAGACAGATTAATAGAAGAAGTTATAACTTTTATCACAAAAAGTTTAAAATAATTTGTCAACTAAACCATTAACATTTTAGACGCAAACGCTCGATTTTACCTCGTCTAGATGCCGGTATTTCTCCAATTCATATAACATTTGCCAGCAATTACGACGAAAAGCAACATCGAGATTACGTTACTCCAATATTTTCATCAATGGTTTATCGCACACCAGTAAGTAACATGACAAATAAATAAATCAACTGATCAAACATATATAACACTTTGTTTCATTCACAGGATATTCAAAAGGCTTTCTTTCTTTTACTCTTGGTTATATTGATTGGAGAGTTCTTTAGTGCGCCGGCCATAACGTTAGCTGATTCTGCTGTCATAACGCTACTAGGTGAAGATGCTGATAAATATGGTCATCAACGTATGTTTGGATCCTTAGGCTGGGGTATATCAATGTTTATTGTTGGTATAGCGTTGGATCACTCCACATCATTTTCACATCATCCTTGTGGTGCTGGACATATGGAAAAGAACTATAATATTTGCTTTCTTATATTTACCGTCCTTATGGTTTGCGCCTATATATCGGCTGCTAAAATCACATTCAAATACGATCCACTCGATTTGGTTGAAAAACCTGCTGAAGATATAATTGATCCAAATAAAAAAGCAGAAGAGGAATCAATGAACCAATTAGCAGCGCAATTAAATCTGCCATCATTAGCAGTTGGCAGTGGCAGTACTGGTACTGGTGGTGGAGGTGCTAGTTTTTTAAAACCACCTACTGCTGGTCAATCGGATATAGGTGCAGAGTCCAAAATATTTGCACAAACTACGAAAGAAATGCCAGAATGGATGACTGTATTAATGCATTTCAGAGATTTGAAAACAGCGTCATTTTTATTTGTTGCCTGGTTTATGGGATTTGGTATTGGTTTAATATTCACATTCCTCTTTTGGCATTTACAAGATTTTGGTGGCACTCCCACTTTGTTTGGTATTGCATCGGTTATAAATCACGTGTCAGAAATTTTTGCATATTTCTTCAGTTTTCGTTTGATACAACAAGTTGGACACATAAAAGTCTTGTGTTTGGGTTTGATGGCCAATGTTTTGCGTTTCCTGTATATTTCGTACACAACAAATCCATGGATGGTATTACCATTTGAGTTAATGCAAGGAATAACGCATGCTGCGGTTTGGGCTGCTGCTTGTTCATATATAGCCCACAACACACCTAAACATTTGAGATCCTCATCACAAGGTGTTTTACAGGGTATTCATCATGGTTTGGGACGAGGATGTGGTGCCATTATTGGCGGTATGTTTGTGACATATTACGGTACAACAGCTACATTCCGTTGGTACGGTATTTGCTGTTTATTTGTGCTCGGGTTCTTCATATTTGTTAATTTCTATCGGAAGGAGCAAGGATTTATATCGGAGCTGCCTCAAACTGAGGACCCACATCAAGTAAGTGTTAATGGATGATATAAGAAAATTAAAGTAGGCAAACAAATAGAAATATAATTTAATTTTTTAATAATTGTTTGAAAATCAATTAGTAAAAAATATGTAATTTTTATAGGTGGCTGAGGAAACTTCACATTTGGCACCACATGGAGTACCTAGCAATCCTATTCCTCGCGCGCTCTCAAATACACGCCTCAACGAAATGAATCCTAATGGTGGTACAGGAAATACTTATGGTACTTATCAAACTACTGGTGGTAATTTGGACATTCCTGGCGGTAACGTACATAATCCATTTGCGCAGTAAGTTGAATACTTGCGCTAAGTACAGATAAACTTGGTTTTAAAAATACAAAATTGTAAGTTTCGAGATGTTTAGTCTATAGGTATGTTGGGTTATTTCATATATTGTGAGTTTCTTGATTATTAAGAAGGAGTATGGTTAAGTGAATTAATGGAAATGATATATATATTTGTAAGCTAATTGTGGTAATATATTCTTTAATATTCAGTTTGCTTAAACTTTAGTATAATTAATAAATATTTATGCTAGATTCCAACAGGGACATATATTGGTTAATCTTTATATATAGTTGTATATAATAGAACAAGACCTGTTCATATAGTATAAATTGTGACCTTAAATTCATTATAAAATTATTTGCAGAGGTTTCTGCATTAAAAAAAATTTATTTTTGTACACATGTAGTCTCCAAATTCTGAGATCAGTTGCTCAAAGAATAACTATGCTAGAAAAGTCAAGACATATGGTATGTAGGAATAATAAGAATCTGCCTGATTCACTTTATTAATAAATAGTTTTAATAGAAATTTAGATAAAGCATACCTGCTTCCCTGAGGTAGTCAAACTAAGGGGTACCTCAGATTGCTTGTTTAGTAATAGTGCTTTCGTCCAAAGACCATTCCAAAGACCATTTTTGAGAGTGGGATATTGACTATTTTATTGCAAATAGTATAACTACTTCATTTTTTGAAAAGCGCAAAATATTCCTTGAACTAGTTCGGATCTAACCCTTACCGATCCCATCAGTTGATAAGTTGTAGTGGTTTTAATTAAACTGCTGTGGATAACTTTTAAACATTGTGTAAAACTTTAGTTACTAGTAAAAAAACATGGTTTAATCATAAAATAAGATTAATACGTCTCAAGAAAATTATATAGATATCTGTCAGTAGTGTACAACATACAAATTCGGGCAACCTTGGCGACAGCAAATACTCTGAACGACTGTAGGAAGCTGTTACTCTGAAATATGGCGATTATATGCATTAAATGATTACAAATATGCATAGATTAAAGTTTGAAGATATAGCTGTTATTAAAAAGATATCAAAATAACAAAAGGTCTGTGTTTTACAAGAATATGTAATCATAAGAAAGCTATTAACAAAATGGGTATATCATTTGTGTTTTGTTGATTAAAAGTAGTAACTCGTCGATGATTCTGGGGACTATTTAAACATATATATGAATAGTAAGAAGAATTTATTCATGCGGTATGCACGAAATATGGCTCCACTACTATACATCTTAATCAGACGCGGTAGTTAGCTGAGTATACAGTAACAAGTGATAGTCGTTCATTGGAAGTTGAACAGTATAATCATCGATTATCTGGAAAGGATAATCGTTAAGGATATAATAGGGTTATAAGGCCATGTCAATGATATAACAAAAGAAAAACGTTTTAAACGCGCAAAAAAAGAATGTTTACACTAAATTAAGAGAAATTCAAAGAATATGAATAGCATTTTGAATTGGTCTCCATCAGAGATACTCTATAAACATAGCAGAGTATTTACCATTATGATAATATATTAACTGTCTTAGAGCTGTTCGTATTATCCGCTAGTTTTGGTTTTGTAAGTTGTTATCATATTTTATTAAGAGTATCGATTATGTAGCCATAACTAAGACAATTTTGAATTCTTCTTAAAGGTTGATATATTTGTGGCTTGCTTTTATATACATGGATCTTATTTTAAGAGTGCTTCTAAAAACTAATACAAAGTTTTTATATAAAAATGTTTCATATTTTGTGTAAAATGGTCTGAAATATTATAAAATGAGTATCACATACCACTTTCATGGCATTATTCCTACAGACATGCTAGTTCTGTTCTATTTTAAATGTTCTCAATTGCTTTGTTGTGAGGTTGAAGCGAAAAATAGCGCAGCTTTATACTCGTATTACATTATATATTAATAATATATTATTATATTATCTGTTCTACTTTTCACACAATTCATTTTTATTTCTATTTATATATATGTATAAATTTTTTAATATTTTCCTCATAATTGCTTAACTATACTCCAGTCAGTATTTAAATAATTTCATTTAATTTCCAAAAATATTATTAAATAAATTTTCAAAAAAATTATTTTTGATTTTAAATACATTTTCTAGATTGTTTTAGTAAGTCCAATTGAAAAAAAAAAAAATTTTAAAGTATATTATAAATGTTTATAATTGTTATATAATATTATAATATATAAAATATACACTAAAATATTGACAGAGGAAAATAATTATGAAACAACCAGGATAAAGAAACAATCACTTAAAATATTGCAAGGAATGATTTAAAAAGCAGATTAGAAATTAATATTTTGTTATATATGACAATTGTGTATTATTAATAAAATAATAATATATAAAATATGTATGCATAAAAATAAACGAAATACCTACAATAATAAAAAATATAACTGTAAACATATCTTAAAAGTTGGCCTCAATGAATTTATTCTATTTCATTGCAAATATTATTTGTTATCAAAGAAAAAAAATATTTTTGTATAATTTAGTTAAAAATGTAAAAATTTTTACAGTGTAAACCGAATACTTCAATTGGATGTAAGAATGCACTGTAAAAATGTTTTTTTTTATTTAGTACGCTTAAACAAATATATTTTAATATATAATATATAGCAGCAATATATTTACGTATTTACATGAATAGCATATATTTTTACTAGGCAAGCATATACGCATATACATATTTATACTTAAATATTAGACAATTTGAAAATATTTAGCAATATCTGAAATAAATGATAGAATAAACCGATTATGACAGATACTGAATGTATTGAAATAGCATTAGAATTGTTTGTAATAGAAATGGTTACTCTGCACTGAAAAAAAATAATATATATATATATATATACTCGTATAGGGAATTATTAAATATATGTAAATGAATGTCTGGCCTTCATTGGCTTTTAATATACCTATTATTAATAATATGGAGATATCAATAACGAAAATCAGTAAGGGTCCGAAAGTTAGTAAAATATTGAGCATATTTTATTTATTTTTGTTTTTTGTTAACTTAAATTTTATTTTGCTAAAGACATTTTAGAATTTCTATTAGATTCATTTGGTACATGGCACAGACAGCTTGGTTCTGAAGAAGACGTACCCTACTTAGGCTCTTTATGTAGGCCAATTGTGATGAAACATTCTTTTTAATAATTTTGAAATTTTTAAAATATTTCCAATTTTTTATTTTTTGCTATATCTTTGAAGTTGTGATTTTGCAAATTTCCTTATACTATGTTCAGACACACCTTAATTTCACCAAAATCTTAATTTCATCATCGTTCCAGCGAAATTAATTTGTTTTTTTCCATACAAAATTCAGTTTTAAGGTTAGAACGAAATTATGGAAAAAGATCTTAATTTCATTGAAAGATAGGATGAAATTAAGATACTTTTCGAATGTAACTATGCCTAAGATAAATTTTCAGCAAAAGATAAAGTTGAGATAACAAAAAAGTGACATTTTTTTTAAATAAATGTCAATGACAGTTGACTTTAATATAATTGGGAAATATTTTGAAAGTATGCAAATTTTTAAATTTGACTATATAGAAAAAACTGTAACTGTTATTAATTTAAAATAGAGTGAAGAATAATAATTCACATACCTTTAATACACTAAAGCTAATAATAATACTGAATGCCATTCTTTATAGTTATAAAAATCAACTTTTAAAATTTCCCAGATACGAATGGTGTTTATAGAAAAATATACGATTTCCTTAATTAGTGCAGTATGAACACTTTCGAAATTAACTTAATTTAATTTTTACGATATTAATGAAATTGGCCGTTTGAACATAGTATTATAAACTTGCAACTACTTTATGAAATGCATTCGATTTCCAGAACTGAACATACACTAAGAAAAACATAGACATGCCCACTAGATAAAGTCACCTCTTATTTTAAAATATAAAAATTAATATTTTAATTTTAATGTGAACTTTGTTATTATTGCATTATTTTTCTTAGCCTACAAATATTTAAATATTTTTCCTAGTTTTTAATAAAATATTATATAGTGATTTATTTTTTAAATTTAATAAACAGGCAATTTGCATAAAACGAATTTTAAAAATAAATATTTTAACAAAATTTATATTTTGTGATATTAACAAAAAAAAAATAAAATAAATAAAGGTACCAAGAAACTGCAAATAAAAAGCTTTTTAATTTTTAATTATTTATATCACAATCATATCATATTTAATTAAAAAAGAAATATATATATATATATACATATATACATACACACAGTTTAAGGTTTATATAATTTGCTTATATAAATTATATAAAATAAAATTAATTGCTAATTTAATGCATTAATGAAATCAAGTAAAAATATTTATATACTATAATATATATAATTAAAAATTATTATATATAGCAAATGGGAGTAATATCTCCAATTATGTTGTACCT